TCGGGTTGTTGTGTTATTTGTTTACAATATGGTCGCTTACTATTCCAAGACAGCGTGTAATGCGCAAAGATCGCGGCGAACTAAATTATTATTCCGTTTATATAATAAAAACCCACAATTGAAGGTGCAGATTGCTGCCATTCGTATCATTAAGACTCTTTTCATCCAAGGTGTGTTCGTATTGTTAGTGTTCATTTTCTTTCGCTTTCGACTCCAAATTCTTTGCAAAGTAGGCTTCCATGTTGCGTTGGGTTATTTTGAGGCGATCTGCATTTAGAAAGAAAATTTCGTGGAGATTATGGTTAAATTTTAGTATTTACTTCCCCATAGAGGATGTTGTGTAAATGTTGCGGAAATCTTGATATTTCCAATTAAAGAGGTTCGACTTTCTTAGTTAGAGGTTAACTTATCGAATATGTATCTATGTAAAATTTTCGAATTGTAGCAGAACCCAATATTGAATTTTCACCCTGTAAGTGTAAAGTATTTTAATATGAAAGTGTTGATTAAGAATTTGGCTCAGAAATGGAGAGATTATGATTAATAATGGCTTTTATAATTCCCAATTCTCTAAGGGAGGTTTTTCAATAATTTGATATTTACGATGTAGAAATTTACTACTTTGAAAGTAGGTTTAATACTACCCTGTTGTAGAGGTGGATTTTTGAATGAATTTATTCTAATTTTAACAGCTGTGTTCTAAATACTGGCTGCAAATGATGAAATGAAAAAATCAAGGTTTATGAAGTTTTTAATATTAAAACCGACATTCGTTATTCTAACATCAGAAAGTTTTGAGTACGATTTGTATTTATATATTAAGCGTAATTCTAATATCAGAGGAGAAATTTTGTACGGCTTATTGAAAGGAAAAGAAAGATTAAAACCTCGTTTTGCAATTCGTACTCATGAGTGTGTGTTGCTTTGTGCTGTACGTGTAAAATGACCTTGCTTTCAAATTCCTCAGTCACTAAGGTTCCGTGTGTTTGGCGCGCTTTCTGCTTTACTGCTCTGATGAATTTGCAGTATTTGATTGAAACTTCACTACTCTGGGATCTCAAAAATCTACTTTAAATCGAGATCGATCGATATTCATTAGCAAGAAAGCTGTAAGACCAAGATCAAGCGATAAAATGGCGCGATCATCGGCCAGTGTAAGCGAAATTTTTTGGAGGTCAATGTAAACAAACCATGTGCTTTCGACTTGCTAATTTAAGGCAAAGCCGTTATACTTTTTCACGTTAGTTAAGCGTGCGGTCATTGGGCAGTGATTAAAGACGTTCACAGGGGTTTTTTCGGTTTGAATGCACAAATGGGTAGATATCTTTTTTGAAGGGCACCGAAAGGTTCCTTTTGAAGCCATGCTCAAATCTCTTTGTTGTCTTTGTTTGCGTCACTGAGAAGGACAGCTGGCCTTTCAAAGCGAAATTACTTTCAGGAAATTTTGCACCGTGATCGAGAGCAAATAGTGATAAGGAAATCAGCGTGTTCAATGATACCAAAGTGTAAATTTCGGATCCTGGAGATCGTCTCGCCACTTTCTTTACAAAATGCTTTGTATCGTACCGAGTAAAGCGAAACTGTGACAAAAGACTACTGGAGCTGCTTATCGATCAGACAGCGCTCCCAGTATGCAAATCACAGCTCACATTAATTCAGAAAGTCACCGACTGTCAAAGCCTTTCATAAAGAGGAAATTACCAGTAATCAAGCTCGTAAACAGAAATGCAATTACAGAGGAGAACAATCGATACACGCTTCTACTGTGAAAGCCGCAAGCACATCCGCGATTGTAATGCAAATCTTGTTAAATGGGTCTCTGTTTCCCAATGTTTTTGAGTATTTGGTGAAAAGAAAACGTGCTGCCGACTCGTTTTAAAGACTGGGAAGAGTGTCGCGTTTTGTTACTCGCACGTTGTCTTATTTAAGTGTGCGGCATGCGGCTCGCCGGGGCGGAAAACCGGTTTCCTTTCAACTTTTCCGCGTCAAAAAAGTTAGAAAAGACAAGAGAGATTTAATCAGTCTCTGGGTGATAATGTTCTGATATTTTGTCGATGGCATTTTCGATCTGTTGAAATGCGAGGGCTTTGCGAGGAAAAAGTTTGCATTACCTTTTCATAGACGCGAAACCGGAGTAAAGACGTCTGTAATCTCGCGCCAAATTTGACAAGTGAGCTGTCATAAGTTAACAATGATCACAGAGTAGACGGGATAATTGACGAGGGTCGTGTTGTGTTTCTGAACAACCGGAAGTGCGCAACACTAGTTCTGTTTCCCTCACACTAGAAAACTTTGCTTTCAATGCACTTCGTTTCACAATCTACCTCTAAACTTGAAAAGCTTTTTTGTCATTACCTGGAAATATTTGTTGATGTCCAATGTGTGTGTGACTTCAATAAGTTTGCTATTTTTGGCTACCATTTTCTTTTGTCACACCTTTGATTTTACTGGCCCAAAACACCTGGTGATATTGTAAACGAGTTTAATCGTGACTAAATACGGTTCCTGACTGGAAAGCAATTCAAAAGACGGCACCACATAGTGTGAAAATAATGAAAACAACTTTATTATGGGAATCCCCTTGAAATAGAAGCGATTTGGTTAGCAATCAGAAGCCCGGGTTATTTGTGTCATTACATCACCACAGCTTACAGAAAATCACCTGTGGCAGTGCTGTAATCACGAGAAAATAGAGACAAAACATCTACAAATTTTCCTTTCCCTAAATCTTTGTTTGCCTTTCGAAATCTTGAAGTTAAGTTGCTAACTCACACGTTGATAACTAATTTCCTTTCTCAATTCTACTGGTTGGTAGTTCACTTATAACATATAACTATGATGGTGGGATAGTTTTCTGTTTATTAAATAACGTATCATCCGGAATCTTCGAACATTTTTCTATGTGAATGCACGAGTTGTCTTCTTATGGAGATCAATCGGACTACAGTTCTTTGCCATAACCTCTCGCCATGTATACAGGAGTTGTCGATTTTAAAGCAAGCAAGAAATCAACATGAGAGAGAGAGTTGCATTGATTGCTTTTAATAATATAAAAGTCATCTCATTGACTTCTTTCGACAAGATCTCCGCAGATGTGTTCATGCTGTTTGCGAGCACCCCCCACTTCCTCCAGAAAAGATAGTCGTTAACCTAGCGAGCAACAGTCTTGCTATTTTCGTATTTTCAAAACTTTCTTTCGGCGACTTCAAAATATACGGTACGGTACTGGTCGAGTTAATATTAGAGGGTTATCATCTCTATCAGCGTTTATCGCTCGAAAATGCAGCACTTTAAAGATGTCTTGTTATAGGCGTGATAAAAATATACTGTCGTCCAATTTGAATAGCGATCGTTCTAAAATACTAAAAATCGTTACTCTTAAAATATGCAAAACATGAGCAATATGATCCTGACAAATTGACGAGTTGATGTAAGATCTTGTTCACTGGAATCTTCAGTCCCTCGATTCGTGTTTAGTTAGGTTTGGACAACATCAACCGGTTAAGAAATATTTACATTTCCAAGAAAGTCAAACTCATCGAGAAAAGACTATAATTTCACACTAATCACAGAGAAACTGAGAACAGACTGAACTTGTCTTAAGAGACATAATGAACAGGCTGACCTTGGGCCTAGAACGTGACAGGGTTTGAAAACTGTAACTGATAAAAATCGTTCTCCGGGCCTAACCTGTGTAAGTTAAGAGTTCAGTCTCTCAGCAGAAAAGTACAACACCTTTACCAATCCGCGAAAAAAGAAGCCACCATAATTCTAAAGAGTTGTCAATCAAAGCCAGCAAATTACTTTGTTTGTCCAAGAAATCCAAATCCTTCTTTTGAGAAAGGATTTCTGGTCACGTCCATCAAACATTTGTTTGCGACACTAAATAAACAGAGATAAGCCAAGCCTCCTACGCTTCACAGGTTTTGTGAATTATGATTAACATCTGCCCACCTCAAGCGTCAAACAGAAACAGAAAGGTGTCAAACCTGGCGCTATTTTAAGAGTGCTAATGGCTAATGATGAACTCTGCCAAATCGATCCCCTTAACTGCAATCAAGAACAATTTTATATGAGAAAATTGTTGAGTAGATCTGGTGATCCTCGTTTTGTAGCGTTTAACGGGAATTTGGTATCCGGCAGGGTTCATTTCTACCCTTGACAGACTATTTGTTCATGTTTGATCTCGAAAACTCGAGTAGAGAAGAATGTAAACACCAGTTCACTATTTACACGCGCGTACAAACATCATTGCCAGTTGTGTGATGTAACTTTCAGGTTTCACTTTGTCATTCAAATAAACTTTTTCAAGAGAAATTCTTAAAAACCTTTTATAATTACACGGATTTACTGGTTGATCTTAACGACCTTCATCAACTTGCAGATTTCAAGCTGGAAGAAAGATTCGAAACCAACTTTTTTAACACAGACGTCCGACACATATGTTCTACTGGGGCTCGTAAGGTCAAAAAAGTTTCAGGTGACGGATGATACTTCAGGACAAGAAGGTCCCGCTCTGGATCTGAGAAATACTGAGGGGAAGAGATGGGGAAGTTTCCGCTCATCAAAAACATGACTTTAAAATTCTGTTTGGGATCTAGAAAAGATTCAATGAAGGCAACATCAAAGACTTTTTGGTCTTTGACATATTAGGAAGTGACACTGATAACTGAATTAATTTGGCAGATTCTGTAGTTTGTCTTAGTTTTTTTCCGTTCCCGTGGCCTTTCACACCGGATTTGGGGATCTAATATAACGATTCCTTGCAAGGAAGGGTGGGAAATCCTTTAAACACGTTAGTACAATGTTTTTCGACGTTGGACCGCAGACGATCGATTCCCTCTTGACAACAAAAATATTTTTTGGTTGCGTTTGGTGTACCACTGGAGCCGACTTCCCATCAAGCATCTGGCGAACAACCAAAAATCAATAGGCCATATAAAAAAATTGAAACTTGGCTCCGAGGCTTGGGGAACTAAACGAAAGAAATCATAACGAGGTTGAGGGATGAATAAGTAACTTCTTTTGTTTAATTCCTCCTTGCCATGTTAGAAATTTAGTCTATCAAAAGTGGCCTATTTTAAGCCATTCTGCAGATTTAGCTCTGCCGAAGGGCTAATGCTCGAAACGTCAGCTTAGAAACTCTTTACGGTGGCCAAATTACATTATTAACTCAGTTTATGAAACCAAATTATCTCGTTACACTCCCTCACCGACACACCACCACCGTTTCTTTAGAAACTTACCTCTTTTATCATGCAGATTTCAAATGTTGAAATAATAATAATAATAATAATAATAATAATGATAATAATGAAAGCAAGAATAATTGTTTTGAATGTTCAGTTCATGTGGCTTTCGCTCAAAAACACCTTTAATATAAACTCGTAAACATTTTTCAAATATCAAGCTTTAGTGAGGTGAAGTAATGAAGCCAATTCAACTATGTTATGATAAAATACGACTCAGATTTCATTTGGGCCAGATTAAGACGCTGGGACAGCAACAGCTGCCAGTTCTGTCTCTTCTTCGTTCTTCTTTTCAGATTTGTGTCCTACAAATAAGTGAAAACAGATGTGAATAAAGCCTGCAAGTCTTCTATACTGAAGAATGAACGAGCTTAGGGTCTACAGTGACCACACGATAGAAGGCCAAGGATGGGGTGAGGAAGAGGGAGGGGGGAGGGAGTCATATACTGGGGTGAGGAAGGGGGAGGGGGGAGTGGAGTCATATACTGGGTTAAGGTGGTAGGGTGGGCGACATATTTTAAAAGGCGAAAATGGTTAACGCGGTGGATTCCAGATAAAAAGATTAATGTTCAGAAAATGTACAAGGTGATTGTGTTTTGTTATTTGGCAAGACCCTTTAATCTCGTAGAACCGCTAACCAACCAAAAGATCGGCGAACTCAGTGTGAGGGAAACTGGACGAAAAGTTAGGGTCTAACATTCCAGGGAGGGAAGAGAGAAATAGAAGTACCATTTGTCATAGTCGATTAATGCTATGGAAACCGAGATACGCTCTGATGGCCACTTGGTTCGTGAGTAACACTTAACGGTCTACCTTTAGTTCAACCGCTATCACAAATATCAAGGAAGCAAAAACACTGCAGTGTTTAATTGTTTGTGACTGAGTTGACACAGAGGTTTATTTCCCCCTAATTGCAAGGATTACATTCAAACTTTCCGATGTGCGTTTCCCCCTCCGTCGGCACCAGTCACAAAAACAAATTAAGATCAACAAGAAGGGAGCAAATAGCAAACAAGAAGTTTTTAAATTCTGTTACGCTAGTAATGAAAGCTGTCAGTGAGTCTGAAAAGATCTCGATGGTGTATTTGCAAAATTAAGAAAGAATTAGGTTCCAGTTCAGCATGAATTGATACTAAATTTGTTCCCCTGCTACGCGTCGTTGAACTTCAGCACCCCGAAAAGTCTAAAGTCCTTTGTGCTGATTTAAAAATAACGGCAACGGAAGCGTTAAAGAAGGAAAATAAATTTAGCACTCTACTGTTTCAGTATCAACTGATACGACTTTCGAGTGTTGTGCAACTCGAAGCTCTCCCAACTTACTACAGGAGCACGAACGAACACTTGAACCGTACTTCAAGAGATATCTATTTTTGCAAGTAAAACGCTAAGATCACTTCAGCAGAAGTGACGGCTATAATTACGTTAATCGCGACAAAACTTTGGAACTTTTAAGTCCCGGATCAACACAGACTAACCTACTTAAAAGTAAGCTATTATTAAAACTTACTTTCTGGCAAATCTCTCCAAACGTTCACTCACAGCTTTCTCATATTTCCGCGTTCTCTATTTGTTCATCAATACCTGAAACTGAAACCATCACAAAGTGTAAAACTGAACAGATTTTGAAGCCGGCCTAATTAAATTACCCTGAACAGGTTAAATTGTGTAGGCAACGATCCAAAAAGGATATTAAAAATCTGAAGCCCATTAGCTACTGATAATAGATGTAGATGATGGTATAGGGTCTAAATCTGAAAGACTGCTATAACCGTAATATGTTTAAAGATCTATTTTACTTCAGATTATAAAGAAAACCCATGAGAACTTTCCGTTACTCAATTCAGAATTAGTAACATCTTCTATATAACCTGTTAGTTGAAAATTAAGCAGTAATATCTACAGATGGCTACAGAGAGTTGTCAAAGCTTTCTATAATTGCCGTCTAAATGCATCTAAGTGGATTAGAATTCATTCCGGAAAGCTAAACACGACAAGCTAAGTGTGCACAGAACGACAAGGACTTAGGGGTCAAATCCTGTTAAAAGTGTAATACAGTTGTATAGTAACCAAATATGCGGCAATTGCAGTTAAGTGTCGACATTACAATCCGGAATTGCATTGCTTTTCTCAATTCGCTCCGAGATTAGTATTACAATCTTGTGTCACCCTCTTAATCACTCAGAAGGAAAAGCAATAAAACCTCGACTATATTTGCTCGTTGTTTTCGTTTTTTTCACCAGATTTCTATTACCTTCTTAATTTTCTTCTCTATTATCTAATTCGCTGTAAGTTGTAACGACTTGGCCTTTGGTTAAACGATCCAAGAAGATTTACTAAATTATATTACACTCCTTGTTTCGTTACTATTGGGGTAGCCAAGGAGGGTCTCCTTGTTTCGTTACTATTGGGGTAGCCAAGGGGGGTAGAGCATACAACCGCAATGCGGAAAATCTCGACTTCCTTATGGGATTCAAAGATGCCTCAAGTTATTTTTGACTGAATTACAGGCATTCTTCAATTCTACTAATAAACGTAAAAAGGGGTCCAATATCTAGGGCGTATTACTGCGTACAATGGACAAATTCAGTGCATCACTGCAACTCTACACCGTATGTATAACTCCAAAGAGCGCTTTTCGATTGAGCATCGTGAAACCAAAATCAAATTAATGACAACAGCCAATCAAAAGAAAGGAAATTGCCATAAATAACCAATGAAAACTCAAATTAGAAACAAGGCAACCGCCTAAAGCGCGGTAAAACGCGGGTAAACCAAGTCGTGATTGGGTTTAGTTTTGCATCTGATTGGTGGAGAGAGTGGCGCGAGTTTTCTAGACCAATCATAGAGCGAAGTAAAAAAAAAAACACCTGAGCAGTCCTGGATTACTTTCGACACTCCATTGAAAATTGTTCTATCTTGTTATTACAGTCGGAAGAAGTTTGTGCCCCCCATTCGGTAATTGACTCAAACACAAGTTCCTTCCACGCTTAATCTTTGGTTTCATGAACCAACACCAAGGTAGAAAAGTTTTCGAGATCGTCAAAACTAGCAATCCGTCGGTGTTAACCTTTTCCATCCTTTTCCTCTTCCATAACAATTTTCTTTTTATTTCAAGGCCTCGTTCTAGTTAGGCGCGATTTTCAATGACCTGCTCAAAATGCCTCAAAACGCTACAAGGAAACTGCAACTAAGTAATTGCAAACGACTTCTGGGAAACAACAAATAGTGACAATTGTGTTACGTCTATTAATTCTACCTTCTGCGTCCTCAATTTGTAATAATTGATGTTTGGACGGTGGGTTTCTCAGAAACACAAGGAGAGGGGCAAAAAGAAGATTCAGAATCGCTAATCCATGCAGAAGCCTAAAAGAACAAGTGATAAGAGAGAAGCATACTTAATTAAAGAATGAGGTATTCCCGTTTAAAATATTCCGGGTTCTTAGTCATCCCTTCCTTTCTCATTTGCTTGACGAACGTAAGTTAACGGCGGTCAACTCCGCCTTAGCCTGGCCCCTAAAGTAGCAAAATGTAGAGTTCGCTGAGAAATTTCAGTACCCTGAGCTCAAAGTTAACGGGAAACAATAAACAGTCGCGGCGTGGAGGAAGAAAAAGAATTGTTTGGCACGTAAAATGTAGGCGATAGGCAGTGGGCTATCTATCCCAAGTTAACTCACTGGATTAATACAAGAATCGGCAGTTTTCGTGTAGTTTAGCAAAGAATTACGTAACCATGAGTCGTTGTCTGAACAAGAAGCTGCCGGAGAGACGAAATTGTTCTGCTGTCGCGTGATATTTTGCGAAAATAATCTGACTTTGGAAAGGAGTAGCCTTAAAACGAAAAGAAAAAACCCTTTTCGCACTTTACTCGCTTAAATTTTTTCCTCAAAAAAGAGAAGCGAGTTGTTCATGTTATCCACATAATATTACCCCAGAAATGGACGGAAAAGCTAATCAGAACTTTTCTAACAGATCACAACTGACCAATCGCAAGTTGATATACAGTTCTTTACTTTGATGATAACTTCTGCTCGGGGCGTTGAACTCTCAGTCCCAGTCACCAGTAACAGTGCTTATCGGGACTTTCTACATCCCAACCCGGGCCGAAGATCACACAATACAGCAGAATTTCGTCAGCAAAACTGACATAATTCCATACCATGGAAAACTTCCTTCAGATACAATTACCCCTCCAAGGAGTGGTCCTGAAAATCCAATTAGCCGTCGATTAGTTCGAGGTTATTACAAAAAAAAAAAAGAAAAGGATAATATTTTAAAGAAATACATGCTAGAACACCTCGCAAAAGTCAGTTGTTGAAAACTCTGATGTTGGGCCAATAGGAAACTGCAAAAACAGGTAAAAATCATTCAGGATCTTCACCTTCATAAAATTCAATTTTACTAAGATCCGTATACGAGATAAAATTTATCCTGGACTTCAGTGACTATAAAACGTTAATTCATTCAAATTAATTTGCATGTTTATTGGTTTAGCCAGGGACTAAGAGTACATACCAAAAGCGAAACCGACTGAGGCTGCAAAATCTTCAATAGCAAATACAGCGCCGTATACAGAGGCGTGTCTAAAGGAGAGGGAAAATGACACTGCTGAATACTGTCCAAACTCAGTGTGGTGAGTGATAGTGAAACAAAACCATATCAAAAGTTGTTCACAAAAATTCGTGACTAAAGGAATAAAAGTACAAATCTTTTTAAGGGTCGAAGCTCTTACATATGTCAAATTTGGGTAAAAAATTTATCCAAGATTGGTCTGTTACGGTCAGCAAGTTACCCCGGTGAGAAACTTAAAAAAGGCATTGTAAAGGTGCCTCAGAAGATGTGGTGCCTGTGAGGGAAAGCAGAGTTAAAGGTTAAGGTACCCTTTCCAATGACACTTGACAAAAAGATGTCGCTCAAGTATGGCTTTCGATATCAGTAAACATGTGAGTAGCTGCAGCAAGCACACCAACCTACAAACATGGGCCAAACGATTCAAGATAAAAAAAAAAAAAAAGGAACTGGCGTATGAAAACAGTACATAGAAAGTTCTCTCAGAAAACAAGAAAGCGATGTATTAGAAAAACCTGTCATCCGTTTCTTAAATGAACCCGAACGTGTCAGGGAAGGGGTAGGGAGTAGGGGGGGAGGGTCAGGGAGACATTAGGAGTCCATCTTTAGAAATCTAAAGCATATCACCATCTCGGTGTATCTACCTGCAGTCGTACAAAAACAAGGATATGAACTCATTATCACTTACCTAATGTCTACTAGGTAGGCCAAGGTGGCAGCCATGGAAGTATCCACCATTCCTACACACCATCAAGGAATGAGAGGTTTCGTTGACAATTAGTTAACCGTATTATTACAAAAGAGAACGATTAGCTCAGTAATTTAGCTATTAGAAGGCACCGGCCCCAGGCGAGGCCACCGCAGTTCTCTTAACTTACATCTTCCAACAAGAGGGTAATAAAGGACTGTTGAAAATCAAAAAACCATTTTTAAAGGCTCTACTGCTTGACACACGCACACGTACAGAAATCAGAGCATTTTGAAATGACAACTTTTGATTTAGGTCACTATCTTAATAGTCTTGAGAGGCTTCATTTAGTTTCATTCAAATCAATCGTCATGCCTGATTCAGTTGCCTTTCACAACTTAGTTATTCTTGAGAATAGACCCTCATGAAACCCATTGAACCAAGCTAAAAAATTACAACAAGTGCGCCGAAAATCTTCCTCTAGAGAGGGAGGTTCTAACTGAAGCCACCTAATCACAGTGGGCTGCATACAATAGTGCTTAGTTACAGAAAAGTGTCTCGCTATGTTCAGGACTGAACGTGTAATATTTTTCCGACTGTCAACAAAGTTGCGTGCCAGGTTCGAATCACATCACAGTGGGTTACTCTTGAATCACTTGACTGCACACTTAACCTCCATTAGCCAACACTTCACGCCCGTGGTAACTCAAGACAAAATATCATACCTCGTGCTCAAAAGCGATAAAAATCTTTCATGAAAACAACGATTAGTTTAATTGACTACAAAAATAACCCACGCTGGAATATTGCTCGAGAACAGATTCCCTCACGAGTAGGGGCGCCTTTAAATGGCTATACGTCCTTATCTAAATTTGTAGCATGTCGGAAAGATTTTTATCGAAAATTGAAGTCGCTGATAAAGTGTAATAAACCGCGCTGAAAAAATGTTTTTCCTTTCTTTCAGATGTAAAAATTGATATCTTTCGGGCAAGATAAGTTTTTATCCAGTCACCTGCAGTGTTTGAACTTCTGCACAAACTCCCCTCTGAGAAAGGCGGAGCATAGAAAGACGTAAAAAACGTAAAAGAATGAACTAAATTATATCCGGTCTGAACTCACCGATACAAAAGCCAAGGGCAAACAGCGGGGCGACAAGGGCAGCTAGGGTCCTCGCAACCGGAACCTGTAAACAGTGTGACAAAAGAAAAAAGAGCTGAAGAGAAAGAAAACATTGTGTGTTTTTGTTAATTACTTTCCATTCCGCGACTTCATGAAATGATTAATCACTTGAATGTGTTGGCAATCGCATTAGAGGTTGTCTCTCCGCGGGACACATGGAGTTTCGAAAGCAACGATCCCAGAAACAGGAAACCGCCGCTTATCAATACTACCGCGAAGCATGAAAAGTTTTTGGGAGTGTTATCAAGCGGATGTTTGATATTTTGCTTTTGCGAAAAGAAATGTGTGGGTCGTAATGACCCAAATTTCTGCTTCTTACTACTTGCTAACGATCTTTCTGTTTAAGATGAAGGAAGCACAACATTTTCACCTTCCTCTGACTCTACCCATAAGAGACATATGAGCAAGCTCTCCCGTGGGTAAGGGGGGGGAGGGAGGGATGGAATCACCCTTCGAGCGAGAGAGCTTGCTCGTTGCACATCGGAGAAATATCATTCGATTTCGGCTCGGAAATTTTGGAAGGTAATTGAACAAAAAAACCTCTCGAATTACCCCCTGCCTAGTGTGCTCTTTTTTCCTTTTTATTCAATTGGTCTACAGGTGGTAAAGTTCTGTGGTGTTTTAACTTGCAGGATTGTTTCTCTAAAGGAAATTTGCGGATCGAGACTCCACGGGATCGGCAAGAGAGAAGTCAGGTGGCCTACCGTATCCATATTTCATTGAAATTTTTCTTACATTTGTCACTACTCCATTCAAAAAGTTTATAACCAGTACAACATTTAGCTACCCAGTGGTAGCCAAAAGTAGCGACAGAAAAAGGCTAAGGCTGTTAAATGCGACAGTACCATGCCTCGGCAACTTTGAACCTTTCAATTGAACTGGGAAGGAAATCCTCACCACAAATAAACTAACAGCTACTAACACAAGACCAATCAGAGATGCAAGCCACCTGAAATAGACAACAAAGTAAAAGAGGATCACTCCAGAGTAGGGATAAGACTTGTCCTCGGGGAATTTTAACACAGAATTTTACCACTCATCGTCTCTCTGGAGCTCACAGTTTATTCCATTTGAACCCTAAGTGATCTGTCTAAGATGAAACTTGCTAAATGAATGAGGGTGATCTCCACACTGATGACTCTACTGCACTTAAAGCAGTGGTGAGAACAAAGCTACGAGTTTATTACGAACCAACAAAATGACCAGCTCTCAGTTGGCTTGTTAGCCCAGTTGGTAGAGGAGGTAAGATCGCAGTGGACCCGGGTTCAACTTCCGTACAGACCTAATTTCTTTTCAGGTTTCATTTTCACAACTGCCTAACTGGTGTTCATTACCTTTAAGACCAATCTCATTCATTTAACTATCCGCAGTTCAAATATATGATATGCTATGTTCACAACCGTTCACAAAATAAGCTAGTCTCCTCGGGATCGGTATGCTACAATCAATAACCAATCGTGTTTGTTTAAATACAGTGTGTAAGGTAGTGAAGTGGACAGAATTTTTTTTTTTTTACATGCTCAGAGTTTGAAAGCCTCTTTACCTCTATCTTCTCCAAATCTCATTTGGCACCATCACCCCTTGAAATTCTCCCTCTCTCCCTCGTCCCCACACCCGGACATCCTTTAACCCCCACCCCTTGGGATTCTCTCCCCTTCCTCTCGCCATGATCCGCTCATCATCCAGAGTTCTTTCCTGCTTTCGATTTCCCTAGCGACTTTTTCGGAAATCAAGTTAGGACATAAACAAACAACCAAACCATGCACATACACTCAAACATAAAACATCACCTCTACAGACCTGCCTATCACATTGCCCAATTTTCCTAACAGTGGTGTGGCTATGAGGTATGCCCCAGTTGAAGGTAGGAAGATCACACCTGTTGAATGATAAATAACAATAGTTGTAATGAAGCCAATTAACTTGCATCCATTCCTATAGCAAATGTTATGGATTTTGGACCCAGCCGAGAAAAGCTGGGTCTTGCACACCAAGTGGAGGCTTACTGGTAAACTTTCAGGGAAAAATAATGTGAAACCATACATTTCTTTTCCTTGACAGAATTTTAAAGTTTCATCACAATAACTGGAAAAACTCCTCTGCATAGGAGTGTTGCATTGCATTCAAAGAAAAAAAGTCAAAGTCAGTCAGATAGCCAGAGAAAGGTAAACATGCTTAGACATGCTAAGCTGTTTTTCTATTTCTCTTCCTTTGGACCTCTTTATATATGCCTGTTAAGCTGGGTAACAATTTAGAAGGACAAGAATGTCTCTTTTGGGCACTTTTTAATCCCCTCTTTCATAATCCCCCTCTATAACAAGCCTCTCATCTCTTTTAGGCTCCCAGTCTGCAGGTCCTAGAATATTGAAAGCCCTCCAACCAGGATGTGGGGATGGCTTTTCAAAGTGTTCAATGTACCCCTTTATTCTTACCTATCTGCCATTCCTTAGCATCCATAGTCTCTAACAGCCATATGGGTAATGTTGGTTCCAGAAGAGCAAATGCCATGTTGCAGAAACAGACAGCACCTATAAACAAGTATGTGTCATGACTACTTAAAATCTCCTCAGTCCTTAGATAAGCAGAGATGTTTGCTAAAACGTCTTACATAGTTAACCCTTGGGAAATTTGACCTGGTTTAGTTCTAGTTCAATTCTCACCCTTTCACTGCCAAGATCTCATAAGTAATTTTCCTTACTGTCTGCCACACGATTGTTATGATGTTAGTTTGGAGAAATTAGTCAGTGGCAAGTTCACTCTTTTAAAGCTGGTTAGTGATAATAAAACTACTGATTTTGTTCACCTTAGTTTTCAACCTCTGTGTTCTGAATCACACAATTCAGAAAATTGGGAATATACTTTTAAACAGGCAAAGAGTAAAACGATGTACACGAAAATTGAAGACAGTAATTAGGTACAATTTGAATAAAGAAAATTTCGCTTGGCAGACACATGAATTGTCTTACTTTAATTTGTTCTACTGGCAGAAGCAATACACTGCTTTTAGATTCCACATAACGAAATCAACAAGAGGCAGATTGATCAACTCTCTTGTTGCCAGTTACCGTAGTAATGATAGGACTACCACGCTTATTTCCTCATCTCAGTTCTCAACTTCAGTATTGCTAATCAATCAATTCAAAACTTAAGGAAGATTGCTGCAATTGGGCGGATAGATGTAAAAACTTCATCCTGACATTTTAATGTTTTCTTAATTAATCAGAGGTTCAGTGTTTAAAAAATATCCAAGCCTTCTTCAAACTCAAGGTACCAGTAACAAGTTATCTAAAGCTAACTTACCACTGGCAATTAGAATGTAAGGATCTGACAGCAAGTCCTTGAGGGTGGGTTTTTCTGTCTAAAAATGAACAGCTATAATTATACATTAAATTGATAGCTTAAATAGCAATATTTTCAGCATTTATTTACAGGTGTGTAATATTTTGATATCATACACTAGTATCAGTTGAAATATCAGTATGAAAAGGCTTCAAAATATAGTGAGAGACAGATTTGTATGAAGATACTAAAAATAAAGTCATATGCAGAGTAAAATATAGTGAGAGACAGATTTGTATGAAGATACTAAAAATAAAGTCATATGCTGAGTAAAATATAGTGAGAGACAGATTTGTATGAAGATACTAAAAATAAAGGCTTCAAAATATAGTGAGAGACAGATTTGTAAGTAGATACTAAAAATAAAGTCATATGCAGACCAGTAATGTGCTTGCAAAAAAATATACAATATCCAATTTCTTGAAAATAAGATTCTCAGAAAGGTCTGAAGGCTTTGAGTTTGCCTGAGTTTGTCTTCCAACAAAAACAAGAATTCGTATACGATTTGAGTATCACTCACACAGGTAAAGTCTATAGCTGCATGAAATTTATTTTTGTGCAATCATGAGTATAATATCCATCACAAGCATTCATTCAACAATATCAGGATGTGTAGTATGTGTGGTAAAAGATACTGAGCATTATTTTATCTCTGTGTTGGTGCTCGCACTACAATTGGGCAATCTAGTGGGCCATAAATCACTGCAGAGCCCACTAAATTCAAATGACTTTGTTTTGTTTGATTACACCTCTATTTGAACAGAGAGATCTGTTTTCTCCATCCGTACTGTAAGTCACCGAGCCTTGCTTTTTCCCTTCAGATTTACAGCCCATCTGGGTGAAAACAACTGGGTCTATAACATACAGTGCCAACCTCAAAAACAGTAAGTAAGAGGTGTTTCATAACAAATACTTCATTATGGATGACAAATTTCACCATAACTTACATATTTTGGCATAACTGGCTTCTGGGCAAAAACCACCAACACTAAGGGGAGAAAATAATTAAAGTGAACCAAATATTGCATTTCTACAAAGACCACACTGCTTATTTTTTTTAAAGTCATATTTCCTTGGATCAAAGTCAAGAGTCAACATTGCTCATGATAAATAGCATACATCTACAATTTAATTAGCAAGATATTGAAGAATAAGTGTCACAGTGGCAAATCAAAATTAATAATGATAGGACTGCACATATTATTAGATGAGCATTTTTGACCATGCGTGAGGTCAAGATGGCTGGATATTGGCTAAGTTCTTTTTTGCATTTTTATGGACCAAGATGAAGTTGAGGTCCATTAAAACTCAAAAAAGGAACAAGGCTAATAACCAGCCCTCTTGACCACACAAGCTTGGTCAAGAAAGGTTTTATCATATAGCAAAAAGATTTTGCTTTTAATTATTAAAAATTAATGACTTGTTTACTTCAGGAGCTGGGAGAGGGACCCCTCTGTGTTTGGAGCACAATAACCCCACCAGAGTCCTTTGTTTTTTTCTTGATGACTTTGTTCATCACAGTCACTGAAAAAGTAAATTCAGTATATGCTGCTCCACACAATGATTATCTTGCACGGGATCAAAGCAGGCAAACCCGAGCAGGCAAACCCAAGCAGGCAAACCCGAGCAGGCAAACCCGAGCAGGCAAGATGGGCCTATCTTGCCTGCTTGGGTAGCCAATCAGAACACAGTATTTGCTTCACTTTACCCACAGGCACTGCCAGCTGTATAATAAATCTGTTTACCATGCCCTAGTTACAATGAGTGGCAAAAGTCTTAACAGGCTCTACAATGTTTTGATATTTTTTCCGTAACTTGCATTTTGTCTTCCCTGTGTCAATTTTGCCTGATATTACCAACATCGTTTCGGGGTGGAGTGGGGGGTGGAGTGGGAGGTCAAGTGAGGGGGGGGGGAGGCAGGAAGGAGAGATTTTAAAGTAACTCATAAGAGGTGAATTACAAGCTTTCTGTTCATTGTGTTGAGTGGAGGTCAACCACCGACTAAGAGGAGGCATGCAAACCAGTTTTGCCACTCATTGTAGCCAAACAGTAAAATATATATAGAGGTAAATAACATATACTGTATTTACTTGTGCATAGTCAACCTTTTATGACCAAAAATACAGCCCAAAAAATCACCCTCCACTTAAACACGGGTCATACACAAAGACCTGAGCCAAGCAATCCAAGAAATGAACATAACAATTGCCAGAAGTCCATTTGGAAACACGAGTTTAAGAAACCAGTTCTTATTGTGTTTGAGTTGTCAGTTTTCAGTACATTCTTCATCCACAAAAAAGTTTGAAATAATGAATTTTTAAGTGGCTTAAACACAGCTTTGCTGCTATTTACAGTGCAGAACTTTTGTTTTCACTGAACAATTACAGAAGCTTGGTGACCTGGTAAATGGTGTTGTCACGCAGTCTTTTTTGTTATGTGCAATCCATTGAAGCTCTTCGGTGAATCTTTGTACTACTAAAATCTCCTTTCAAACTCAAAATTAAGATGAAGGTCAGTTAAAAGCAAGAAGATATTTTCAATGCGATTTAAAAAATAATGGTAAAGTACTTCTCCAGTAAATCAAAGTGCTTGTGTTTGCTTAAATCATGGTGATAAAAGCAAGTGCTGGAAATGATGAAAATCCATTTTTGACCTTAAAAATGGGGGTTTGACTTATACACAAGTTTGACTTATACACAAGTAAATACATGTACATTAACTGAATTGAAAATTGTTTAATGACAAAACAAAGAAATTATCTGTATCAGAATGTTAGTGTACTAACCATTAAATTTAGTGATTTAAACAGCCCTTAAATTCAAGTATCAATTTTCCAAATAGATAGGATATATATTAATAAATTTTACACTACCTCAATTCTGTTAGGCACAAACTGTACCCTTGAAGTAAAACAAAAGGAAAATGTGATAACTTTCTTTTATCTTAGGGTTACACGAGGGATGTTATAAATTAGAGCAACCTTCCCCGAACTAAGTGATGGTCATAATTAGAGAATTTAAAAATGATGGAACCATTAATAAAAACATAATAATTATATACTAACCAAATGTTAAAAAAATTAAACCAGCAAGTATGAAGAATGGAAGGCCCTTTCCTCCAATACTGTAAAACAATCCTCCAAATGGGGGCCCAGCTATGAATGTAAAAAACAATTTTTGTTTCAATACCAAAGAGGAGCTAGGACTTTTAACACTCACAACATTGCCTAGAATTCAATGTTTGGTCATAGGATATTTTTTTTGAGTTCTTCTTGAGTCTGGGAGATGACAAAACACGGAGCCCTAGTCCATGGAGTAACCTATGGAGTACCTGGATGTAGTACCCCTAAAAATCATGTATTAGTCAAATAAAATACTTTATGAACATGGCGAATCGATTAGATGTACATATCCTGATATATTTTGAGTTTGTCAGTTCTCCGATTGTCGCAGTTCGATGTAGTACATGAATTGACCACCATCTTGAAATTAACATTAAACTGCTGACCACTTCCAATGGAGAGCTTTAATGATGCTAGCATCCATGAGCGTTATCGTTAATAGGCAGACTACGATCTATTTTCATGTGATCTTCAAGAGGCCAAAAGGAGGGACAACCTTCATTCTGCAATGGGTTTTAGGTCTTCCAAAATACCTGTTTATGTGTGGTGTCTGTAAGAAGTGTGGCGCTCCATCTAGTAACACATGGCCTCATGGGTTTCTTAAATGTGCCAAACGATGAGGATACAAGCTTACATTCATAGGTTGAGAATTAAAAAGGTAATCCCTATCTTTAAACTGAGCTTCTCCTCACCCATCTATTTGTAGCACAATAGAATTGAGGTATGTAAACAAACAAAAAAAAAAACAGTGACGGGTCAGCAAATAAATCCGACTGGAGTTGTTGATCTGGGAAATGCAGTAAGCTTAAATATTTTACCTCATGCAGAAATCGAAACAGTGGGTTTTGTTCATCACATGGAGTTGTTTATCTCCTCGTCAAAGGACTCATTACACAGCAGTAGAACCAAAATGGAGGAACCAGTAAGACTGAGAGCCCTAGTCAACTGTCCCCCAAAAACTGGATTGTATCAAACTGTGACATTCGGAGAGCTGGGAAGCTCGATATATTTTAGGATATGTACATCTAAACGATTCACATTGTTCATAAAATATTTTATTTGACCAATACATGACTTTTAGGGGTACTCCATTAAGGTACTCCATAGGGTACTCCATGGAGTAGGGCTCTGCGTTTTGTCATCTTCCCTTGAGTCTCATGAAGTGCTCGCAGTAATATAGATGGGTTTGCTAATGTCAATTTTGACTGTGACTTTGATGGCAATTAATAATGACTTGTACTCTTGAACACTAGTTTTAGTTGTTCAGCATTAATTGAGTTTTATAGCAGTTGACACTTAATGGCTTAAATTGTTATTCTTTGGACAGATCTATAGGATTTTAAATAAGACCCTGTTTTCCTCCATGACACATGATAATATATTTTTGCATGGGTGATCCATTGCCCAGCCAATTATGGTTACACTGTAACCAGGTAAAATCATGTTAACAATTGACCACTTATTTAAGGAATCAATGACAATTAATGAACAGAAAAAATTGAAAAAGCCCAGTAAATTATCAGTATTAAATAGGATTCTTCAGTTGTTAACAGAAAACACTCATCACAAAATAATGAAAACCAAAGGAAAACAGTCTTTAAGAAGATAATCATTTGCTTTTAATTACAAGTTTACTAACACAAACCTAGGACTCCAAGCCCTGTCACTCCCATTGCTATTCCTATTGCTGTCCCTCGCTCATTATCATCAGGGTGGGCAGCGGCAAGCATTGCTAAACCTTAAAACATCAGTCAAACAACAACAACAACAACAAAAAAAGCAATTAAGACAAACAAACAGCTTTTAAAGAAACTTACAAGAGCCTTACTGTAACAGATTTCATAAAACTCCACTTTTGTATTGTTGCCTATTTCTTTTAACTCTTGGATCCCCAGGAATGACTACCACATAATTTCTCGCCAAAACATCACCCCTTAATCAAACATTCAGGTCATGAGAATATTTAGGAAATGATCACCAACTAAAGAGGCTCTTGACTGTTAACAAATTCTCCTTGAAATGTATGAAAGCGATCCTTGCAGTAATAAGCCCTACTTATCATTGCATTGTAGTGATGGAAATAAGGTCTGAAAAAAATTAAGGCCCACATGGGATTTCAACCCATAACCTCTGTGATACCAGTGCAGTGCTCTACCAGCTGAGCTAACAAGCCAATTGGGAGCTGGTCATTATGTGGGTTCATATTAAACCTGTTGAAGTGATAAATCAATGAATTTGAATTTGTACCACGGTTTTATGAAATTCTCCTTGTCAACAGCTTTGGAAAAGCATAGGAAACAAAATGGAGAATATCCAGACTGATGCTTGGCTGCTTGGGTGTAAAGAGTTAATTACATGTACTGTACAGAAGTTCATTGGTTGTTACTATTGTCATTTTTGCAGGCGAGACAACTTCTGAATATCTTCAGTTTCTGCATAACTATATTGTATATAAAGGATCCCTCACAGGAACAATTTCAAACACAGAAAGACCTATGTCACATCTATAAACTAAGAAGGTTGTCAGTGACGGGCACCAAAAAATATCTAGCTACTTTCAACAAACCCAATGACAACAAAAGCTGGAGAAAACCCTAATACTCCTGCCATAGCTTTTCTTTATACTCCTTCAAATCTATTTAACATCAACTGTCAACTTGTAGACAATAAAATTACTCCAACATCAAACAACACTTACAAGAAATAAGAACAAAAGATGATCCTAGTCCCTGAATAGCTCTTGCTACAAAGAGAAGCCAATAACCTGAACCACAGCCATAAACTAAAATTAAAGGAAAAAATATAACATAACACTTACCATCAGCTGGCACAAATGAAGAAAGAAAAACATTGCTTGCTATGCTCATTTTATTTTGGACACTAATATTGAGAGGTGTTAAGTGTCAACAATGACTAAGATAGTGGTGACCTCATTGTGTGTACCAAGTTGCAGACAGTGGTGTGTTTTGGCTCTCTGTCTGTACTATGTAGCAATAACATGTCATCATAAATAGAAAAAAAAACTCACTAAGGGCCAGTTATTTACTCGAGGTCTAACCCACACCATGGTTTTACGCATGCTGTAAGCCTTGGGGATTCTCTAGAAGAGGGTTTAAATAAATATCCTTTGACTATTAGCTTTCAGCCCTCTTGACACTGTTCACAAAAATAAATGTTCGAATAAAAGGTTTGGCTAAATTGAAGATGACTTAGAACAGCTACACTTTGTTAAATAGCTGGCCCTAAAAGCTTAAGTGTATAAATCGACTAATCAGTCCATCAGACAAATTAATGATCAATATTTTGAATCAGTTTAACAGTCATTAAATAGTATTTATTTATTATTTAATAGCAGTCTCAATTGGTTGCTCACATGAGCCAGTATAGGTTTTTTAACCCTTTCACTCCCAAGATCTCATAGGAAATTCTCCTTACTGTGAGCCAAACAATTCTTATGATTCAAGTTTGGAGAGAATTTGGTATTGGATCAATTGATAATCCCCTGATTTTTGTTTTTCCATATTCTCATCACTTGTCTGCTTGATATTGTATTGATATTGTAAGGAGAAGTTCTGTCTTGGTCACTCGTAGGAGTTTAAGGGTTTAGTAAAACTCCATCGAGAATAAAGTTATTACCAAGAGTTGATATAAATAAGACACAAAAACCACTGTATAATGGGATGCTGTAACCCACTCTGCAAATTAAAATCACAACAGTCAAACAGCCTAAATATATCATTCAATGTTATGGTCACAATCAACCACTGAATCAGAGAGAGTGTAGGTATTTCTTCACCACTCGACCATTCATTATGAGCAAGAATTTCTATCTTTAGTTTTCAAATAGTACAATTGCATACTACTTTTGCAAGGTTTTGAAGTGATTTCCTTTGTGAATGGATGCAATCATGCCTTTGAGAAAGTCTGTTGTCTTACTTAAAAGTATCAGTAATCTATTCATTATTGAGAATTATGAACTTCAAGCTTAATATTAATTACAATAATATTAAATTTAACTAGTATCTGTATACCTCTCTGTTAGATGCCCTGCTACTGGATTCACCATAATCTGTAAGATAGTGCAAGTATAATTATTTATAAACAGTTAAAGAAGATTTTTCTAGCAAAGCATGCTATTGAATATCAAAATAATTTGAAAAATTCAACCACCATTATATCGATAGCATCCTTGAGATGTTTAATGGATATGAGTCTTAAACCATTATCTTCAATGAATGATCAAGACAGAATTTCTCTTTACAATATCAATACCTTATCAAGCAGACAAGTAATGAGAGTAAAGAAAAATATCAATTAGGGGATTCTTAATTGATCTAATTAATATCAAATTCTCCAAACTAACATCATAAGAATTGTATGGCAGACAGCAAGGAGAAATACCGGTGAAATCTTAAGAGTGAAAGGGTTAATTGATGCATTTACCACTACTGCAACAGTGTGGAAGACTATTTAATGGCTACCCTGAAACATCATAATTAAAAACACATACAGGTGTTTTCATCCCATCTTACATTTTCAACTGGTAACTTGCTATTTTGGAAAGGATTTTATCATAGAGAAGAGTTGAAATTCCGGCCAAAGGATTGGGGTATTAGCTAAAGGAACTCTTTGCAAATACAGTTAAGTTAAAAGTACAAACCTGAACAAAGGCTTTGGATGCAAATAAAGCCCCAATTTTGAGATCCATGGATGAATCTATCACTGTTGGCGAAGAAACAGTTGCAAATGTTTTGTTGCTTGTTGAGCTTTCAGCAGTCGGTGGTCTAGTTGTTGGTGTCTCAGATACATCCAAATATACTGGTATAATTGGTACTGAAGAAGAAAAAAAGACATTAGGATTATTAATGAAATTAAATATTTCTGCAATCACTGGGCAGGAAAGTGAGAACTTTGAAAAACGATTTTCATAACAGTGCACATTTTTCTCCAAAGGCACAAACCAGGGTAGAAATCAAGAAAGGTACTGGTCCCAGTTTGGCCAAATTAGTTCAAAACCATGCCCCTCCCATCATGTAATAACATTTCTTGAATGAGAAGATATATAAAGTCATTTCTGGGCAGTTACAGAAAAAGTTAAGCCAAAGAAGCTGCACCTCTTTGAACAAGCAGCCAATTGACTTGTTTTTTTTTTCCTCCTTTGTGTTTATTGTGATTGAAGCACACTTCATCAGGGAGTTTTGACGATACCACCAACTACACCTGTTCATAAATCTACGACCAATGTGTTTTAAAATTTAAAAATATGACAAGTTACACAATTACTTGTTTGAAGCTGCAGTGAACTTACTGGCTCAACTACTAAAAAATAAAATTTACAAAAGAAACCCAGTGATTAATATTGTGATCTTTTTGCAGTCTCTAAGGAACAGCAATGTATTACAGTTTCTCTCCAAAAGAAAATATGAAAACTTTTAGCCTTTGAGGGTTCATCACACCTACACATTGATAATGATGATGACCCTAGTCTCGAGATCGAATTAGTATAAATTTCTCCCATCTGACTGCCATTGAGTTTCTTGTTAATAAGACAGGGGAATTTGGTTTCATATCATGAAAACACCCTCTAGACAATAAGCTTATTTGTTCTCATTACCTGTTGGCAAGATAATAGGTTAGAATCGCAAGGAGAATTTACATGAAAATCACTTCTGGGATTTAAGAGCCGGGTAAAAGATTAGGGAAGTACGGATACATGCAAGCTGAACGAACCCCTTCCTCTGCCCTATGAGTTCATAATAGAGGTAGGACATAACCAGAAAATAAACTGTCCATACATACCTATAACAGACAACAGAAGACAATCACACAATGCACTCAAGCACGCTATTAACAAGATGGTTCTCTGTGAGATCTTCCTTGCTTGAGGTTCTATTTTCACGGCACAGCGAAGCCCATCGTCTTCGATTAACATCTGTTCATCAAAATTCTGACTCTCCGCCATGTTCGGTCAAGAGGAAGGAGTGCACCTGAATATTTTATTTGCTTTATTATAGTTTTTTCTCTCGTATTAACTTTACCAATACCGCATTGTGTTACGGTAAAGTAAACAAGCGAATTCAGCTTGCAAGGAATGACGGGAAATATGTTGTGAACGACTGAAAAAAAACTGGGAATTAGAAGCCTGACATAAACGCAAATAACAGAAAATGACAAGTCTCGGTGGAAAAAATTCAGTCGGTAAATACGGGTAAAAAGAGCTGGTCCTATGGTAAAAATTACATAAGTTATAAAGCAAAGTTTGATTCGGCTTAAAATGAAATTTCGTTGAGAATCGTAGCGAGCGGCACGTGAGTATCTCTAGCCGGTGTTGACATAAGATATCTTACGTATGATGCACGATCCTCGCAGTAGAGAGCGCTATTTATGCAATAGCGAAAATCAGGCCTGTACGGGATTCGAACCACTGACCTCTGCGATACTAGTGCAGCGCTCTACCAATTGAGGATCGTGCATCATACTGCGAGGATCGTGCATCATACGTATCTAATACCGCAGTTCAAGATATATGAACTTCATATATACATTGTATCTGATTTATCATCACGGGTTAATTAGGAATCAACTCAACGGCCTGCTCCCAGTTGGCTTGTTAGCTCAATTGGTAGAGCGCTGCACTAGCATCGCAGAGGTCAGTGGTTCGAATCCCGTACCGGCCTGATTTTTTTTCAGGTCTGATTTTCGCTATTGCATGAATAGCGCTCTCTACTGCGAGGATCGTGTATCATACGTATCTAATACCGCAGTTCAAAATATATGAACTTCATTTATACATGTAACTGATAAGACATCTTGTTGGTCAGTGGGTTTAGTCGACGAGTATCTTAGAAGTCGCCATGGGGTACGCAATTATTTCCTGAACTAAGCACGCTCTCTGTTTTTTGCCTTTGCGACTTATCGCTGGATGAGAACATTTCTGGCAATCCAACATATTGAAATTGCTGCATTTAAAGTCAGCACATGTCGACTTCTGGAAGCTGTTGGCCTGTTGCACATATAAAGCAGAGGAAATGGATAGGTAAGAACCCTAGATCATACAGCCTGTTTTTTATAGCTCTGATGTATTATTTCTGAACTAGAAGGTAATTTGATCAATTTACCGCTCAGGTGGTTTGGATTTCATTGACTTAAATTCGTCAAGGTTAAGATATACTGAACAAGAAGAAAAAGTTTCAAGTTTCTGGGACCGCTACATCCATTATGGGAAGCTCCGACTGATCTGGCAAACTCTGAATATTGCGTGACAAATCTACGTATCGGCTGGGTTTATGATTAACCCCGATTCCTCCTTTTTTTAATTCAAAAAATATTGGAATTGGAATTTAAGAGAAAAACGAAAAGAAAAAAAATTTAATGGGAGAAGAGAGATTGTAAAAACTATTCGTTTTAGGAAAATATCAAGAGAATATCAACTGTTGTGGTTCTCTTGGAAAATATTCATAGTGACTGAGATTAACAGTAAGAGCCTCGAACAGATTTAATTTAAAAAAAAAATTACGCAAAAATGTTGAATCTACTTGCCTGTTGCAAGCACACGATCTCAAGGGTTTGCGGACGTTAGCAAGTCAGGCAGGAGGGGTGTGGGGGGACGGCAGCGGGCGGAACGCTGCGATCAAATCATTTCTTTTTCTTTGCCTTATTAGCGTATGATCGATTCTCTAATTGAAGCAAGATCTATTTTAAACTGTGTCGGGATAACAAACTGAAACAAGTCGGTTCTGGGACACAAGCAGGAGGGAAAGAGCATCAGGGCCAACATGACCATATCTCTGATTCGAAGCTGTAGTTTGGTAATCTTCATTTATCTTTGTAATTGATATCGCCAGATTTTGGAGAAGAGCATGACATATCTGCACTTGGTGGAAGGATCGAAGGAAATCAGAATAGATTCCGACAGTTGATGTTCTTATCTTGATGGTTGTAACCGGCGTGGTGCGCGACATTTCTCGAGTATGTCCTGTTTCACAGTCAAAAGACATTCGGATTAACGAATAGATTCCATGCTTCTGTTCAGTAATATATCACAGATGACGTCAAAATGTGCAACCTCGTTCCCAGGCCTTCCCCACCATAACTAAGGGAAAAGGCCCTGGGAACGAGGTTGCAAAATGTGGTAAAAACAAAAAAGTGACACACGAGACGCACCTATCACATTTTGACGTCTTCTTTTGTCTATTACTGAACAGACCCTCGGCAAAGCTGAATCCATTTGTTATATATAGTATCAAAAAGAAGCAAAATGTTGCCAATGGTGGCGTCATCTCTAGTTGTGTCTGTCCTCCAATAGATCATAAGTAGGAACCAATCAAAGTGCACGTATAGTTGAGCTTATTAATATATAATTTTTACTGAGGGCCTAGATTGACTCGTAAGTAACTTCGCTTATTTTTCTGAACAAACAGCTTTGTCAAGAAGGGATGGGAACCGCAGTAATTATGTCTTACCTTGCAGGATAATACTTCATGCTGTAAAAACAGCTGCTAAGAGAAAGACAGAACGTCGAAGGGCAGTCAGTGGGCTTAAAATAAGACCTATGACAAAAAGAACAGGTTAAGAGGAAAAGATAGTGGAATAGGCTTGCAATTTTAACAACACGACAAACATGTGTCGTGTTGGAAGGAGCCTCTTACACTCAAAACGAAAAGCTATGAAACAAGATCAATGAGCGTGCAGTTGGGATTCGCTTTCCAGGTAAGTTTAAAAGTATTTTTAAGCATAAGAGTCTGTTTTTTTCTATTCGTCCTTTTCGCAGAGACTATAAAAAACAATCGACAAAACAAAAAAATTTGAATTAATAGTTGTGAGTATTTTCATGTTGGATACCAGAGTACTTGCACGTGTCTATTTTTAGAGGATAGATAATCATTCTTTTTTATTTCCAATATTCTAGCAACATGAAATTTCTCTAATGAAATCACGACCTCTGACTCCATAGTTCTTTTGTTATAGCCTTAAAACTTATTGTTGAAAAGAATTTGATCTTCTTTAATTGCCTTTAAACTTCAGTTATGTTTTAACAATAATAATAATAATAATAATAAACTAGTTGCCCTCAAAACTGAAAATAATAAGTAATACATTCTAAGCCATAGAGGTTAAAAATAGAACTAACTAGTCGAACGATGTAACTATTCAAAGATTATAAATACAATAAAACTAGATTATAATACAGCTTCAAAAGAATCAATGTCTCTATAAGAATTTATAAAATAATCCATCAAATCATTCCTAAGAGAGGAGATGCTACGTTGTTTCCTAAGCTCATTTGGAAGACTGTTTTAGGTTTCGGATACAACGAGTGAAGTGATTCAGAATGATTACTCTTTAGACTGGCATTGGTATCTTTTCACGGCGCCATTCACGTTACAAACACATTGTCAGATCGATTTTGTTAGAATCCATTACCAATCAATATTTTTAATTCTTATTGTTGTCAGTGATGACTGAACAACACGCCAGGATAAACCTGTTCGTTTTACATCAAATTACGTTGTGTGTATAGCTTGAAATGTTTATTTCCAGCTACAGACGCCTTGATCAAAGAGGGCCATTTGATCTAAGAAAGCCTCTTGACTCCTGACGTGAACGATGAACTTCCGTTTCATACTTACTTAAATAAATTATTCTATGCTTAGTGAATCTCGAGGCATTACGCTCTTAAAATCAATTCCCACGGGTCATGCAGGTCCACGGAAGCCCTTAATTAGTCTTACTAAAGGTACATTGCGCTCTATAGTGGTTATCTAGTTTATATATTGGAACAGTATGACCTTGCTCGCCGCGTAGATGCATTCGCGAGATGTGTCCTTTTGTGTGTTCAGTTCAATTGCAGGATTTTTCCAGGAAGAGATCTGAGAAGACTTCTAGGGAAACTTCATAAGTAGGTACTTAATTCACATTTGCTACAAATCGATATCGCCAATATATGGTGCTTTGACCGTTCAATAGACGTAAACTATCGTTAAACCATTATTGATAGATTAAGAGAAGTAATTACCACTGTCAGTGTGTAGTTTGTGTTAGCTTTGTAAAATGACATGGTTATTTAGTACCATCACTTCGCTAACCAACTTCTTGGCCTTCAACGTTTCGATGCAGATTTTCGCAATGACCTTACCAAATTACTGATATGTTTGAAATCGTGATTTTTTCTTTCTCTCGGCATCTAGTCAGTGTGGCAAAAAGAACGCTGTGTTTTTGTGCAAATGGTTTAAAAGACTGCTATTGCTTATTGACTTCGCGCGAATTTACATTCACTTCCTACTGAAGTCGGGATTTTGACAACTGAAGATTCACAATAACACCAGCGTTTCTCTCTTGTCTTCAAAGATGAGTAAGAACATCTGATTTCATTTGAGCGTAGTAATGAAAGAAGTTACAGAGCGAAACACTCGAAAAATCAGCCTTTGAATGTAGGATGGGGCATTGTCAAACAAATGTGATCTTTGTCGAATGAATTGGCTTCTAAAGTTATGTAAGTCTGGTTGACTACACGACTAAAATCAAGTTGGAGCTTTCATTTATACAAAGAAATTCGTTTAAACTCTCTTACAGGACCTTTTGTTTGCCTTAATCGACTCTTTAGGGTTTTGTGTTGGTCAACTTTATGTTGGTAAACTAACAACATACAGTTTTTGTTTATAGAACACTTTTCATTGGGTTTTGAAAATAGCTGCAGTCTCCTCCCTCACTTTACTGTACTCAACAACAGGTTGTTCCCATTCCATTCCGATCTTTTATTTCGTCTAAGAGAGTGAAGGGTCTCACAACAGTTCTTTGGTCTTCAAAGCGATCACAGTATGTGCATAGGAACTTGGTGAGACCAGCAAGTTTGTTGTTTTCTAACTTAGAAAAAAAAAAACAGTCAGTGCCTCTGTTCAAACATCGCTACACACCAATTTCAAATGAGTTCATTACTTAGCAAAACCGAATTTAAAATCTCCAGAAAATTTAATTTAATGAACAAAATTTTCACGTCGTTTTCGTGATAGCCTTTGTGAACCGCTGCGTTTTATTAACTATAAAAGAATTCCTGCAAGAAAAGTTGGGTAAGTTATTTAGCTGGTTGATGAAATCGTTCGATGCGAATCACCTTTTAGTACTGAATAACTCTGAAATTTTGCCAGTTTTTATTGCCAAACTAGAAAAAATTTTCGAAAGCTAACGAAGTGATCTTCTGTACGTGATGATCGGTGACATGCCCTTCACACCTTTCATTGGCCCCGTGTTTCCGCTTACTCACAAATTGAGAATCAGTTTGTAAAATCTATAAGAACATAAGTAACAACCCAAAAGTTAACCTGACTACCTGACTTAGCTGTAAGTTGTAGTACCAGTAGAAATTAAATTAAATTTTCATGCGTACTTTTGATTACTTAATTGATTACATAACAACTGTACAGCGAAGTAGAGCGTTCACTTTTTAAAGAAACACCTCTTTTTTGACGCGAAGTACGTGTTAAACGGAAAGAATATTCTCTTACTGTTGACTGATCCATTTCTTTCTAAATCATGTAAATAAACAACTTCAAGATTGAAGAATGCAACCGCAATTGTTGGTCTTTCAATGATCAGAAAGAACCTTTACAAAGGAGTACACAAAGTGTTTTGTTCAGCTCAAAAGAAAGAGACTAACTAAAGCTGGTTCTATTTCATCCTGTAATCTCCAAAAGAAGGAATGTAAAATAAACAAATTTCTTTTAAACGTTGAGTACGCATGATTTGCAGCTTGTACAGATGATAGTTGAGGGCAAATGATATTTTTTTTGATCGTGAACATTAACATCTTCAAGGCCAAATTCCCCACGCATGCGCACGGTATTGTATGAAACTGATATAACAATTATAAAGGAATGTACAAGATCAAAATAGGCAATCCCTCTTAGGTTTTGATAAAAGAAAAATGATAACCATAAGTGACTGGGTTTTTTTCCTCGAAATTGTTGATATATGTGAAGTTTTTCTCGATTAACATCAAAGTGATGAGTCCATTGAAGAGTCCGTGGTGAATACCCAATGCGCGCGGTATCCCAAAAAACGATATTTTCTAAAAAAAAATATACTCTCATCGCTTCCAAACTTATTTCTCTGACGTCAGTTTAACTTATTCGCTTATCTACCATCAGTCGATTTCTTTTTTCTGGTTAAAGATTGAACAAACTGACCAGTTTATGTGACTACATTGACTAGTTTCGTTGATTTTGTTTTGCGACCGATTTAACTCTGGAAAATCAAGAGTAGAGGAATGTACCTTTGATAGATGGAACTGTTTAATGAGCGACCCAAAATCCCTCCTTGATTAAAAGTATACAAAGCTTACTCTAAATATGCAAGTACAGCATTGGTAGTAAAAGGCATTGTGCACGCAGCAACTATCTCTCGTGGTAGTCTACTCAAAAGTACGAGAAAGACCTCTGATTAAGAAGTCTGAGGCTGTATATTGCATCAGCGCGCACGTATGTGCAAAAATCAGCAGTTATTCGAGTTAAGCTGCACGTGATACTATGACTGTCAGTGGTAATCTCAAACGATCCTTTAGATTGCGTAATAAGAAGAAATGTGCCTTCCACGGATACTAACTTGACCAAAATAATTCGTAAAATAATCACGGAACTCGATTTGCGATCCAAAAATGAGATATTAAGCTCATTCTCTTTGCAGTTCTTCAGGCATTAAGTGAAATTTGCGCTGTATTGGATTGGTTGAAAGCTGTCCTTAATGAGATAGGTTGGACAGGGATAAGCAAGATGCAGAGTTTTATTATTTGGTGTTCTCACTTGCGTATCACGAACATTGGGTCAATGTTAAATAAAAGTTCTCTTCAAACTGGTGACAATAACTCTGTTGTACCCTCTGAGAGAAAGGCAAAGTTAATGTCACCTTTTCCACGAAAAATTGTTATTCATACAGTTTATAAGCTCTTGTTATTTATAAAAATTGGAATGACAAATTTTCTCAACAAAATTAATTTTTTTCATTCAACAGAGTATCTTTACAGGCCATCCTGTGAGCCTGATGTCGGAAAAGGTCTGTTGGCAATCGTCCAGCAACACGTGATGAGTCATAGTCAGGCCATGCAGCGAAGGAGAAGTGACTCCATTGCCTCCTCGAAGCCCCACACAGGAACCTTGGAAACGGGCCTAAGAAAGTGGAGTGGGGACAGGAACCGCGCAAGTAACGACGAGTCTTCCATCGGTAAGACTTCTGACAAAGACTCTTATTCAAACAAGGGCGACACCAACACCACCACTATGACCGCAACAACAAACAGCTCGATAAATAAAACCAGCGCCAGCGGCAGTGTAATTTCTATAAACACCTCTAAGTACACTAACAACAAGAAAAACAAATACAAAAACAAAGTCATCAAATCAGCAAGTACAAACGTAAGTAACAGTGCAATTAAGGCTGAAGTACCTAATCCTCAGACACACGATCTAAGAGGAAATATAACTAAAGAAAACCAGGCTAACATATACCCCCAAACAACTTCTTCCGTGCCCAGGCAAGTAGTGCTATCAGGCAGCCCGAGCAAACATGTTCCTCAGGGGAATTCAGAGCAAGATATTCCTTTAGTAATGCCATCGAATAGAAAGATAAGCGCTGTGCTTCCTCCAGGAAGCGTGAACACCACCCAGGTTCCCCAGAGAAAGTCCAGTGTGAACGTAATGAAACGTTCGCCTGTTACTTTTGTGATTTCAAAGGATAAAGCCGGGAAAACCGAAGTACCTAGAAGACTGTCGCTATTTCAAATTTCTAGCGGGGTAAATTTAAACGATTCGCGATTCCTTCCACTGAGTCGCGAGGAAGCTGAAGATTATAATAAGATGAAAACCACGGAGGACAGCGCATTACCTGGAAAAAATTGGACCTACACAATGAGTTCAAAAGTCACAGTTCATGGTGGAGGAGGCGCAGTTGTGCGTAAATTAGGACTTGCTCTAGAGAGACCTGTTCTTGATGATTCTCTTTCAACTGAGGAGAGATTTGCGGCACTGAGCGAGAGATATGCCAACTTAAAGGCGAAGATTGAAGGAAATGATAGGAAGAAGAAATCCACAGAGTCCTCACCCAAAGCAGTAGAGAAGAGTGCTACCGGTCCATCTAGTGAAGACACATTAACCCAGACAAAATGCTGGACAACGGTTGAAAATATTTCAGTTCAAGAATACATTGATCGACTATCTGCCAATCCCTGTGACTTAACGAAGGCTGAAACCCAAGAGACACTGACTGGCAAGAAGAAATCTCCAAAGTCGTCCCTCAAATCTGGTGGGAAGAGTGATTGTAGTCCATATATAGAAGACACATTAATCCAGTCGAAATACTGGACAACGGTTGAAAGTATTCCAGTTCAAGAAGCTCTTGATCGAGTATCTGACAAACCCCGTGACTCATCAGAGGTTGAAAAGCAGGACATGCTGACTTGCAGCGACAGAAACAAGCAGACAAAAAATGACGAGGAACATAACATCCGTAGAAGCCACATGCCAACTATGAGTAATGACTTCAACATCATAACAAGCTGCGTAAATGATGGTGCAAATAATTCTTCCGTCGATCTGAACAATAACAGCAAGCCCAGCGTCGCCAAGACACAAGTTGAGGAAGATAGAAGACCCAGTGATTGCTCTTTGGTTGATAGTAAGACGCCTCTTAACTCACGACCTGAAACACTAACGCAAAAGACAAGGACAAGTGTCGTTGCAAAGCTGATGAACAGGAAAATGAATCGTAGAAGAAAACAAAGCATAGTACCATGTCTGGTGAAACGAAGATCAAGGGTGTATACTAAGGACTGTTCTGGACACGAGGGTATTCCAGCTTCTGTGGCAGAGTTTGAGGAGATCAGAACGTTTGTGGAAAACACAGTGCTTCGTGCCCCAGTGCGACAAGAGGTGGGTTAAAGTGGTTAAAGTACTGTGTAACAGTGATTTTACAGATAGTTGACGATAAGATCCGGAACATGTGAGGCTGCTGTTCTTTTTTCAGTGATAGGAATCACTAGATAGTAGCCATCTTGGAAACATTCACGTAAATTAATTTTCGTAAGTAATATGTGTTACAGCGAACAGAGTTTCCCGAACCAATTGTTCTCTTGTCCTCTTATCCAACAGTCATGATATGCCGGTCTTATTTCAACTATACTGGGGGAATACCAGGGGGGAATAAAAAAAATCCACCGACGTATGGCTTCATAGCTTAGTCGGTAGTAGCGCCTAGCAAAATATCTCTGACGCGGGTTCTATCCTTGTCGAATCCTGATATTTTCACACCTCATGTTATGACTTGAATTACAGTCGTGTTCATCACTTGTTAATGCCGTATGACGGAATAGATGAAGCAATAAGAGACTGATCTTTTCAGCAAACTGAATTCTCCGGAGAGAAGGAGGGGAAAGAAATAAATGAATTAAGCTGAGAAAATTGTGATACAAGTCAGTTTTTTTTTTACTTTTGTTAGGCGTCAAATATCCTAGAATTATTAAATGGACTCTCGTCCTGTTTGAGTGAAATAGAGTTAGTCGCCATTTGTAAAGAGTGTTCCAAGACTCTACAGACTTTGGACGCACTGGGAAGTTTGCGTAGGTGTTGAAATGTTGTTTTTTTTTGTTGTTATTGTTTTCTGGCCTAGCTTAAATAACCTTAGTAAGATAAAAGAGACAGTGTTCACTTCAAACGAGCCACAGCAAAAGAACGTAGCGCTTTGGGCCAAGTAACGTCAGCACCTACCTTGTAAGATTAATTGCACCAGTGATTATAGAGATGCATGCCTTTTGATTGGTTCATGATTACACCGTACCTAACGATGTGATTTTGATACTGAAGCGCTAAGGCATTTGCACTGGTTGTCGCTTGGATAATTTTTTTTGAATGATTATCGTCCTCAGGTTCGACTAATAATGTCAAATGATTGTTAATTATTATTTTGAATACACAATTTTATGGCAGAAAGCAAAATGAGACCTAAAATCTTGAATTTCATTTTACAGTCACTAAAAATCGCACAGATGTCCTTTAATTTTTATCTTACAGCAACGTATCTCTCCTTGGAGACGGTTTTCATAAACCCAAGCGGAACAATCAAGTTCAAGCATCTAAGCACAGGTTTGTTCACTGAAAAGCGAGATAAATGAAGCATATTTACCCTTCTTGGCTCGGTACTTTTTTAAAAGAGTTAAAACTCTGCAGACAGGCCTAAGCACCTCCTAGGTTTGTTATAAGGGGTCTCAATATCTTAGTGTTCGGAGACATTATTGATAGAGTGTACCCGACTGTTTGAGTACTAACTCTTACAACCCTCTGAAGGCAGAAACTGACTCATGAAGGACGGGCTAGATACATACAAGAAGGAAAAGAACAAAATCTCAATGATTCAGTTTGCATTTCATAGAGGATGGCGAAGGGTTTACACGTGGCGCGCGATTAGGCCCAAAATTAACACGCGACACGTAGATTGTACAGAAAGGCAAACTAAGTTGAGATTAAAGTTTTCGTCTTAAATTCGTGAAGCGTGAGAAACTATTTGAAATACACGTGACGCGTAAAGTTTCGAAAATTCGTGCGTGAAACGAGATCAAACCCCCCCCCTCACTCCTTCGAAAACCACGCCTAACGCAATACTTAACGTTGATTACAAAACCGCTCCTTTCCTTGAGAGTCCAGAGAAGTACTCAAGTTTATAAGCAATTTCAAGCTATTTCTATGTAGCTTAAAAGAAATTTTATCGAAAAACATGCAAGCTGCATGATGAGCAAATAATTTTTATTGATCAGGTGCGAGAGATAATCTGAATCTATTCGAGTGGAGAGATGTGAAAGTGACAAAAAACCAGGACTGGGTGATTGATAGGACAAAAGAAGCTTTATAGGGATTTTTCTCGATACTTCGAAGACCCACGAATTCCGTCTTACTTCATTAGCAAACTCCTTGTTATATTTGGGTTTCAAATGTGATCTTTAGATTTGCACAACAATATATCCATTTCAGTCGTAGCTAATTTAGGTTAACCTTTCTCCCCTGAGATTCGTAGTTCACATTTTGCCCGCCTAAAAACAATTAGGTAAGAGCGTCCTCGCACGTCTCTGAGTCCAGGGTTTATTTTGATCGTACAAATTGGACAGTCTTTAACCAACAATCTCGAATATACATCCACTTTAGAAAGGAACTTCGTCGGAGAAGAGACATGTTTTCGTGACAACAAAGATCTGTCGCGAGCTTTCCGGTGTTTCCAGCCCCTCTTTGCATTTCAAGTGAGTCAAACCGTATAGTCTACAATTAAAGATCCTTAGCCCTTTCGCTGTGGTAATATATTATGTACGTATATCGTATTCAACACAGAGTTTTTCAATCCAATGGAAACGATTGAAAGACGATTCACTTGTTTTGTAAATTGATTGGAATAGCAGTTAAGTGTTCCTCTCTGGATGAACTCGCCTTTTTTTTTTCTTGGTATTTAGCATTAATTGCTAAGTTACACAACGTTTCTTCTGTGGTATCACTCTCGGATGGGTTGCTCCTAGATCTTGATATTCTGCAATATCAACTTAATTTGTCAAGTTATAATTTTAAACATTCGTAAACATCAGTGCTTTTTTGTAGTCTATTAAAACGATTAGGACTTGAATTGTCAGCTAAAAATAGCTCTAGCAATGTACAAACACTGTGTCTTCCATTAACGAGTTTGTAATTAGCAAGCGTTTTGTGTATGATGCGATCACAACTTAGGATGTCGTAAAAGTTTCAGTTTCATAAGAGTTGCTCCGTCTCGCTCTTATAACTTCCTCTCTCACACTAGTTGCGCATGAAAAGTAGTAATTACGGGCGCGAGACGTTTGATTATAGAACTTATCTCTTAATGTCAAAGCTTTTGTGTTGTTCAAATCTTAATGCATTGTGCTTATCTTATCAAGTCAATCTGTAGTCTGCGCGCAGACTCAGAGAGTAGCAGCTGTAGCCATAGAGCTGAAAATGCCCTCAGTTGTTCTTTGGGGAAACATAATGTAGGACAAATCAGATCTTTGGTATTGCCTACGAATTTAACATTGCAATGCAACACTTTTATTTTACTGCTGTCACTTTTTGTGTCTGGTGAGATACTGACTTGTCTTTCCTAAACCGTTGTTTAAACTATTAATCCTGTTTAGTATCCCATTTCATAGTCGTGTCAGTAACAAACTCTTGTTAGTACAGCCTGCTAATTGATCAATAATTGATGAAGCACGTTAACATTTGTCCTTATTTTCTTTGTCAGGGATCTCCATTGATGATTTGTACCTGGCTCCAGAACACTCCAGCAAGTTTGCGTCTGAAAAGGTATGTAGTGTACTACTGTTAATGAAAGCTCTGAGACGACTACATGGTCTATTAACGTTTGGAGCGCTGTTTTACGTAAAAGCCGTCAATGCCTTAAGGAAAAGACCAAACTCACTGGGGCCAATATAAAGATTCATTTGCATTTGATAGAAGTATACCTCAATATATCTTCTGGTCTTTCAAAATCAAATATTAGATCCGTCAAGTTTTTAAGGTGTAGCATTTGAGATGAATTTATTTAACTGGTTTGGGTCCGTATGGAGAAGTTGTCAAAATTGTGTCATGTGCACGAAGATAGACTTGTTTTTTAAACTATATAAAGAACAAACCCACCAGAAACTGTTCTGGCGAATGACACAAAATTTAACGTTGCTGCATGCGCAATGTTGTTATACTAGTCACGATTAATGATGTCTTAATCTGTTAACAGCAACTTTCAGTGAACAAATTTATCAGTGCCTTCGAGGCAAAGTTGATTTGAACAACAATTCATTTAAGCGGAGGGTTTTTTTAACATATGAATATTAACCAACCAGCGTGAAAAATTAACAAGCTTGACCTCGTATGGGCAAAACATTAGAAAAACAAACTTGCCGTTGAACAGTTATTGAGTCAAACACAGATCCAGTTCCATCTTGGGCGTGTAGTCTCCTAACAAAGTACGTACTGTCACAAAAATATTGCGAGTAGTTCTTCTCAAAAGCAGCTAGCGAACAAATGCGGTGCTTTTAGCCTGTTATCCGAAGATAATTGGAAGAGCGTGTCAACCGAAGACGTAAACTTGCACATCGACAGCACTTGTTGATTGTTAGAAATGACCAAACTGACTTGTAATTATTGGTTGTTAACTTATGTCCAAGTTTCATTCCTAAATGTGTTGCATGTCTAAAGATGTTTTGCTTTGACAATTTTTTTTCCGTTTCTTTTTCTTTTCCGGCGAGAAAGGAATATTGTGTTAATCAAATTTCTTACTTATCATTCAAACCAGTGTACTAACAAATCATATAATTACGATGAATTTTGCGATACAGAGTATTGTTGGGGTTGAGCAATCTTTGGGTTTGACGGCTGGAGTTTTCGTGCTTTTTAAATCACACTTGCATGTCTAGACAACTCATTTTTTTCACTAATCCTTATGTCTGACTCTTCTGCAATAAATGTTCCTTCGATATCACTGCACAGACAGAAAACGATAAGATGAAATGGGCTCAATTTTATGATTCTCAATTTTGCTTTGCCATCCAGTTCGTTTGAATTTCTCTTTAAATTCTGTCCAAACATATCTTAAACATATCTGAAGTGTAGATCCGGTTTTATCAGAGCGTGTCGCTAATCAGGGCTGATTATTAGCAGTTATTAGCCATCATAAAATTCCATTTCGATTAAGGGAAATAATTTATATGATCTGTAGCACAAACATGTAAAATTTATGATACAATAAGCTATTTTCTGCTGCCATCTTGCTCGAGGTGGCTACAGGCAAGAAGTATTGTATAGAACCCTAGGTACAAGCAAGGAGGTTTGTACAGAACTCTGGCTGTAAGAAATAACCAGTTAATCTAAAACGCCTTGTAAAACTTTCAATAATTATCTGATTTAGTGCAGAAAGCCCTGGTCAAGATTTCAGGCTCAGGAAAGCTCCTACTTGATTAAAAAAATTCTGTTTCAAAATGTGGCGAAGGAAATGCGGTTTGATACGCATTCATTAAACTAAAAGACGTATATTGAAAATGATCACATTAATGACTCATTTATCACTGGCCAGGCTATGGGATGTCTTTGTCAGTTTTAAGGGCTCTCAACCATCTTTCCTTTCTTTAATTGTGATTTAGTACATTAGGATAATGAGTCTATGGTGATAAGTAAGGGAATTTTGGTTAGGTTTGGTCTCGTTAAAAAATAGCCAGAAGATAAAAATTACGTATGATTCACGATCCTCGCAGTAGAGAGCGCTATTTATGCAATAGCGAAAATCAGACCTGAAAAGAATCAGGCCTGTACGGGATTCGAACCACTAACCTCTGCGATACTAGTGCAGTGCTCTACCAATTGAGCTAACAAGCCAACTGGGAGCAGGCCGTTAAGTTGATTCGTAATAAACCCGAGGTGATAAATCAGATACGATGAATATATGAAGTTCATATATTTTGAACTGCGGTTATAGATACGTATGATGCACTATCCTCGCAGTAGAGAGCGCTATTTATGCAATAGCGAAAATCAGACATGAAAAAAATCAGGCTTGTACGGGATTCGAACCAGTTACCTCTGCGATACTAGTGCAGCGCTCTACCAATTGAGCTAACAAGCCAACTGGGAGTAGGCCGTTAAGTTGATTCGTAATAAACCCGTGATGATAAATCAGATACGATGAATATATGAAGTTCATATATTTTGAACTGCGGTTATAGATACGTATGATGCACTATCCTCGCAGTAGAGAGCGCTATTTATGCAATAGCGAAAATCAGACATGAAAAAAATCAGGCTTGTACGGGATTCGAACCAGTTACCTCTGCGATACTAGTGCAGCGCTCTACCAATTGAGCTAACAAGCCAACTGGGAGCAGGCCGTTAAGTTGATTCGTAATAAACCCGTGATGATAAATCAGATACAATGAATATATGAAGTTCATATATTTTGAACTGCGGTTATAGATACGTATGATGCACTATCCTCGCAGTAGAGAGCGCTATTTATGCAATAGCGAAAATCAGACCTGAAAAAAATCAGGCCTGTACGGGATTCGAACCACTGACCTCTGCGATACTAGTGCAGCGCTCTACCAATTGAGCTAACAAGCCAACTGGGAG